ACCATTATGGTTACCGCCAAAAAAAAAACCGGAGGTAAAAAAAAATAACGGTAACCTGGTTGCCGAGTTCACGAAGTGAATTGGCTTGTTTTACAACGTCGTTGCCAAGCGACGAAAACCCAACCCCGATGGCAAACACCGGGGGGGGGGGAACTGATTGTGGCAGGGGGAAAATGAACCATGATATTGACCAGACTGAGAACAAAGGCCGACCAGCAGCGTGTGTAGTGCGTACACAGCAATCGCATGGAATAGCCGTTCGCGTTAGTGCACTGCCCGGAGCCGAAAAGTCTTACCTTGTCACGAGTTGTGAATTTGCTGCAGGATGCACTGACACACGCGAAATACTAGCGCAGGAGACACAGCAACGGGCAAACCCACTTTCCTCTCAACACCACTGGTGCGGCCGCTGCTATACTGAACCAGCCTTGATAAACAAGTTGTTGGAAATTGACCGGTTTCAAATTAACGTTGCCGTGCCATTAACAAACCAAACAGACGCGTGGAAGTAGCTCACTGTCTTCGCTGTAAGGGCAAAGCGTCAAGTGCGAATGTGGCTGAGGCAGTTTGCGACGCGGTAGCCAGTGGAAGTCCAATGTTTGCAATACGGCGGCCGCATGCAGTAGTACGATGTACCATTAAGTTCCGGCATATGTGTTTCTGCAGTGTGAGGTGCCTAGTGGTGAGCTTGACACAGTTTGCCGACTTCAACGAAAACAACTCCTCGTTGAATAGATTAAACACCGACAACACATCAGTGGTGAACCCCTGACAAAAATGTTGAGCACGATGAAACAGCCTTGCGAACGCGCTTTGTCTGTCGCAACTCAAAAGGTTGCCGGGGTCACTCGAGAAAGCACGTAACCTCATGCCGGCCGGAAATGGGAGTGCCAAGAGTCGGCAAAAAGAAATGACGTACGCCCGTGCCATCTCTCCGATTTTCCAGTAGTTGTGTGCCATGGGTTTACTGGGACACACTGAACTATCCCTGCGGTTGAAACTTAATGGGAGACGAAGAATTGCAACAACAGCCCGCAAACGAGTTCCTGTATTTTTCGTCCGACTCGTAGTATGCAACTCACGATGCTTACGCATTCGCTTGACTCCGACAGCAAGAAGGTCGCTTTTCTCAATAGACACGGATCCTTTAGGACTCTTCGCAAATCGTACTGTGACCAATATCGGACCTGCTCATTGTGGATACAATTTTATTGTATTTGTCGCACCGCAACAAAATTGCAACAGCGCAGTGCATACACGAACATTATCCGGGACGATACATACCTCTTCTCTCCTCAGTTCTCGTTCTCGCCGAAATACCTGGCTATCTTCCTGCTGCCTGGATTGACTCTTGGGGGCGGAAGGTTCCGGTTCTACCCTGCTAACCTGGTACTGTTGCTGCCTTTGAAGCTGTTTGACGAGCTGCACACGTGGACATTCACGCAAGCGAGGCCATTAGAGGGTTTCATTTCTGTCTCTTGTATGTGTTGCCAAGTACTCGATGTTGTGTGCCACCACACAACAAGTTGACTTACTGGGGGGGGGAATTGAGTGGTGAAGAGGGATAGAGGTCCGGGGGGAATTCCGGACACCTCTTCACGGGCAAGAGGAAAAGCAAGGAGCATTACCGCGTACAACAAAAAAGTGGTGACCACAACAAGTTACGGTTAAAAGAGACACGTGTTCGTGCACATTGCCTTGCAGAACACAAACTACAGTCAGTTATCATCCGACAAAACCAGCATGCACATGTTAACCATGAACGCTGTTTCCACGCTCGTCAGGATGGAGCCTCGACTTCGAGAGCACCCGTAAGCTAACAATTTGAGCACATAGACCAGTAGAGGAGCACTAGGGACGCCAAAAGTGTTTGGGGATGGAAGTTGAGGTTAACTCTAAATAGAATTATCATACGGCGAATTTGGATAAAAGTACACAGCACCCAAAATTGAAACCGAATGGAATCCCCACAATTAAGTGCGGGGTCCCGACCTGAGCCATGAACGCAGCTGAAGAAACCCACTGAGCTCCTAGGAAAAGTCAGCACACTCAGCCCGGCGACTGGGAGTGTGGAGCCGACTGCAGGGTCCATGTTGAAGGAAAGTGGACCCGAACCAAATATGAGAAAAGAATATCATGTTATTCCCGCCTCTTGATGAGTCCCAAGTCCTCAGATGCGACGTACAACCGAACGTAACACCCCTACAGCTTCCTTGAGAGCAATGAGGAAACGGTGCCCGATACGGCTTGGGTCCGGACTTGGCTCAGATACATGTTTCTCAAGTGTAGGTTCCTCCTCAAAGGTTGTGTAACAGCTTGACGGTACATCCACTTGGAATCATGTTTCAGGCTGGGACACACAGGAAACTCGTTTCCTGAACCTCGGAGTCAGTATGGTAGACGTGACTGCAACTTCGTATGTGGAAATAACGTGAGGGTCCCAACCGGTAACACATTGCCATAAGATGTACTGATAAATTCAACGCGTTCGTACCGTAGACAACACGTGCACGCCAACGGGGAATATAACAAACGCAAGGCATCTAAAAGCCATTATAGAACGTGTAGAGGTGGGATCGATTTTATCGATTGGCGGTCGATACACCTGAAGAGATACAAGTCGGAATTCGCATGGCATGATACAAGCCGCGCCTTCCGGAGAATAGAAAAAAGTGCGCAAGTGAATGAGACTGCCGCACTTCATGACGGAGGTATCCTTGATCGACATCACGAGCGTGGCCGAAACAAGACAAGAGGGTTGACCAAGAAACCAAAAGCATGTTTGGTTGGACGTGTTATCAACCCTCACGTTTTCGGAAGGTTTGACGGCAACGCGATTCATCCAACTCTCCGGTTCGCCTGCGGATGTATCTTCTACCCGCCTTGACTGCTGACCGCCCATAACCTCTAACCTTCGTCCTATTTGCCCTAACCTCGCCAAGAGAACATGGTAAAACGAAACGGGCAGGCGGGCGTGGGTGCGACAAGAAAGCATCAGCAGCAGTATGCATCACAGGGCATTGCAAAGATTCCAGCGATAACGCGTGCGCCGCAAGACGTACAGCATGCGTGACCATGGCACTTAGATGCACACAGCAACCCAACTACTGGTCGCCGATGCAGGCGACAGTAAGTGGGCGGGCGTTCGTTGTGCGAAGGAAATGGCACTTTTAAAACATGTACGCAGCACTGCTTTAGAAAGAAAGTCGGCAACACGAACAACATTTCTCACCTAGTACCTGACACGCTATGCTTCGTTAACCAATGAAGGCGCGAGGTACCAACCCTTGCTGTGGACTACACGTTGTACGGGGCAGACGGGAGTGCGTGGGTGTTGTGGAAGAAAGTACCGAGGGGGGGTGCGTGGGTGGGAGGATGCATCACGCATGCTTCCTTCTGGAACAACATAGATTGATATCTCATGCAACAAACTGGCGCACCTGAAATCTTGCACTCGACCAGGTGAAGGCGCGAACAATTGGGTAAGGGAGATGAAGGAGCACAGCGATTTCGAAAAAATGACGGTGCACTTCCTGAAGTCTGTAAAACTGACGCGCATAGTATCTACTGCTGTACAGCAAAGCAGTCAAGGGTGCGTTGTGCACGTAGCTGTCACCTGAACTGTCGGTGTTGTGCACTGACCCTCTGCGATGCACAGCTGTACAAGTTGCTTCGGGGTTTGGGATCTCGCGCTAAATGCGACAGTGGCACGGGCCAAGCAAACGAGCAACGAGGGGGTGCGGGGTGCGGGATGCGGCGCAATTAGTGGTTGGTTCGGCCGTTGGAGGGATACAGCAGTACGCGAAACTGTCGCCGTCATGCATGATGCATGTTGTATGTACTTGTATGTACACACGTACAACAGCTATGCTATGCCTCCGTGAGGACGAATTTCACTGTTTCTCCCGGCAGGGCATTGATGCAACGAGAGAGCATTGCTTCCCGTCAAGCAGATGTACTCTCTCGAAGGCGATGGGGTTTGCGAGCATCTGTATGAGTTTATTTCGTGTAAAGACGAGCTGTCGTTCCGGCCGACCATCAACATTGCAGACACTATCGTTTACAAGTTTGGGCAGCCTGTCAGCTGGTATTTCACCGGCGTGGACGGAAAGGTCAAGAAAAAATTCAAAACCAACATCATCAACACGAAGATTGAAGAGGCTTTCGTAAGGGCGAGCGTAGGATCGGACGTCGTTGGGTACTACATATCATGGATGAGCAATAGGTCTACGTACCAAGACGGTGAGTCGTTCCATTTTTCCAGCTGTTGGAATGCAGCCAATGCATCATCTCGAAGCCTACAAATTAGACTACAACGTTACCGTAGTTTACAAGACTTGAAGTACCCGGCACTTTCCCTCGGTATATAGCAACAACAAAGAGTTGTTTGTGGTGCGTGGCGATCGTGTAGTGTCCAATGAAAAACAGTACTGAAGTACTTACTCCGTTTTCTGTGACATGAATACCGTATATGACACAACATAACACACCCCCTTGACCAATTTTCGAAGCTCGATTTCTCAGCTGCAGGAACAGTCACAGCGCCGAAAACGGCGGCGTTGAAACCGTCTCGTCGAGGGCTTTTCGAAAATGTATCGTTTCGTTTATGCATCCTCTTCGTCGTGGAGTAATCGAGCTTTGAAAATCGGTCCAGGGGGTGTGTTATCCTGTGTCATATACGGTAGTCTAACCTTGTTGTCCTGCCTCTTCTTAAGCAAAGATATCGATTGACACTTATCACGTTTGGGGCTGTTGCTGTGACCAAAATACGACTACTCTTGTGGCCGGTACTGCTAGTGGCAAGTAGTAGCGACACATGTCATTTAAACTTCTAACAACGCGAGGCTTAAAAGATCAAAGTAGGGCAGAGAAAATCAAGCACGTGCGGTCGTGTAGCCCACCTCCAACCCGGCACCTGAGCAAATGGACGGTGTCTGGCTTTGATAGATGAGCCATATAAACGTACGATACGCATGCACGATCACATTTGGTTGCGCATACAATGAAATGAACTGAAATGATCCTCGCTCCCCTTCGCTGTGAAAGTATAGCCGTGTGACAGGTAGTGGGATGATCCAACCTCTGGATTATCTGTCTAGAAACTAGCGAAGGCAAGGCAGGCATGGTGGCAGCCAAAGGTACTCGACCGGGCTTCGTTACAAGTGTACTCTCGTTTGCTGAGGAAGTTTCAAGCCATGCCATCCGCTCAAAGAGACAACGTTTTCGTCTACAAAATTTTGCAGAAAACGAAGACAAAACAACCATCGAGTACCTGGATCGGCAAGGCCTACGTGAGTTTGGGAAGTTGAGATTGATTGTAATCAACCGAAAATTCAGATTCGAAACGCTCATGTTTCGCTTTTACATAGGTTGGCAGAAAAGCCGAAAGAGAAGGTTACAAGAGTTGCCTCATGAAGTCTTTATTTTCATGTCCTCCTTCATACGATAGCACATAGCACGCATCGCATCGTAAAACAGGATGTACGTGCCACCCATCGTCCATGTTTGCAGGCAACTTTCTGTATAACCGCTGGAAGGAACGTAATGGCATTCTTCAACGGTTCGTGGAGCCCAAGGGAACCCGAAACGGTAGGTGATCGTGAAGGCACAACGTTTAGCTGAGTTATCCTAACGGAACTCGCCTTTAGTAGCCGTACCGCAGGCCCCTCTGTTCATCCCCCGGCTCAGGAATGTGCTCGGTATGAGGTGTTCGTGACGAAAAACTCCCCTGTTTCCCCCGGGAGCTACTTTGTGGAAATAGGGGAGTTTTACGTCACAAACACCGCATACCCCTTTGGGCGGAATCGCCTCTGCGGGGGACACCATGAACTAATGGTGAACACAACGGAGCCCGCGGACTAGAAAGGGCGTTCGCGGTTTTGGTCCCCCTACAAAGTTGGCGTCTTTTCAATGGTCAGCCGGTTAGCGTGGGCGATGCCACCCAAAGAAACGCACACATATACGCATACACCGCTCGTTTTAGTCTCCCATGCTTGCGTGCCTTTTCCGCATTCCGGGGTTAGACATGATATCACCTCCGGCAGTGCTGACACTCTACCAGATGTGAAATTGTATACAACCGCCAACTTGTATCACACTCACTCGCAAATGTGCCGAATAGCAACATCATGTTCAGCCCAAGAATCTAGCGCATTTCCTCTGTATTGGTGCCAATATTGGGGCAACTGGGGGAAACGTTCATCCGAAGGAACTTTCGTCGGAAACAACTACCAGTACTTGTGGAGAGGAAATTCAAGGGATACGAGGAGAACGTTTTTCGTTGCTTTCCCCCAGGGAAACTCGACAACTTTCGGCTGAATATCTATGGCGGGGGGAGGGGGGTCCACGCTGCACCGGGGGGGAAACAAGGGGGACTGCTGCAGTTGTCGATCGCCGCCAGGCAGCTTTACGGCCTAGACCGGAGTGGGATATTCCATCCATGCCACCCTTCGTATCCAACCAATTGGCAGCGATGGTGAGGGCCATATGGTCTCCCAAGATGTGCTTATTGGAGAGGAGAGTGAATTGCCGCCAGCTTCACGACCGGCGCTACGGAATTTACGAGCGAACTGTCACGTACGATGGCCCTGACATCTTCAGCACTGCCTGTGAGTCCTCCCGTAGAAACTATTTCATGCCACCAATCTGCCGGAAAATTAGATGCCGGCTCAGACGCGCGCCCAAAGCGTATAGGAATTGTCTGCTGGCGAATACCACGTGCTGCTTTGATATGATTGCGTATGTTTGGTTCATATTTGATAGACGCGTGCAATCATTGTCGCGCCGCTGTCGCCCTGGATCAGGTCCACTTCGAGGAAGCGTGTTGCCGTCGCAAGTGCAAAGGTGTTGTGAAAGCATTGTGGCGCATGTAAGTGAGGTATTGTTCAGGAAAACAAGGGTTTGTCGCATATCCCTTAACTTTAAGATCGACTCTCGGGATCGCGTGTGGCTGCTGTGGAGCAACTCCATCCGGCTGGCATCTGAGATGCCACCGGGGCGCGAGTCCTTTACCTGCGTGGGTGGCCCCATCAACATTGGAGAGCTGGTGAGTAATCCAGGAAAAAGAAAAGTAGATGAATAGCATCGGAACGACCGAATAAGCTACCCTGCGGTGTATTCGTCCCGTTGTGTGTGCTACGTATCTCTAGGCCGATCGGAAGGTCAGGCAAGGAGCGTGGAAGAATCGCGTTGACCTCGACAGTATTATTTGGCCGTCTGTGCATTAGTTCAAGCTGGCCACTTCGACCCGGTCACTGTAGCTGATGCCCCACGCGGCCCTCACCGGTACGAAATAGTCATGCTGGAGGGCCACCCGTGGTGCTCGTGGCGGTGATGCGAGCTGCGCTGCAGTCTACGTGACATCAACGACGCATTTCTTCTCCCCCAGGTGAAGATTCCGTCAGAAGTCACGCTGCAGCAAGGCGCAGCACATCATCGTGAGGAGATCAGAAGCCCGGTTATCGGCACGTGCTCGAGCTGCGGCAAGACCTCATCGGGCAGTAACTTCCATGCTGTGCACTATAAAACAATCATCGCCCACTTCGAGCAGGTGACAAGGGTATCCAATTTCGAATACACCAACCCACGCGAAAGCAACATTGTAGCTAGACATGTCAGCCGCGCGTGCATGTCCATAGTGAGCAGGACGTCACATGCCCTCCTTGGGTCCGAGCAGAAGGCCATTCAGGTACAAACGAGCTCATTTGTCCCAACAGGTGGTTGACCTCGTGTCTTGTGACCCGGCCAATCGAACGGGTGTCGTGGAGTGGCCGCCATCTGCAGAAATATTGGAAGCGGCAGGTGGCGTCGGCTTTGGCGATATTTCTCTGGCGACGAATGCCGACCCATCAACGATAGCTACGGAGGATGTCGTCGTGCCCCCAGTCATACGCACTCTGCACCCTAAACTCGCTGCCGAGGGCTACGAGCGCCACCGGCGGGACCCACTCTTCTTGTACAAGGTACCGTTGGACAGGTTTGCGCAAAATATGGTGTTTGTACGACCGATTTCTTGAATGCTGAATCACGGATAGTTTGCGTTGGTAGCGCATGCGTAGTGGTCCTATGCACTACTCAACAGGAAGAATGTGTTTCCGAACTATACGCACTCGAGAATGCAAATCACAAGCAACATCTGCTACATTGCCGTATCTCTCTCCTTCGATGTCGTTCGAAAGCAGACTGCATTCGTTTGCGAGTCCTGCTTTCTCGTGTACGCGGAACTGGCATCGCTCGCATTTCGGGCAACCGGCAGGCAGGCCTTGACGGACCACACAATATCTACGCAGTTCAGCGCCATGCATCGATCACACACGCTCAGCCGCTTGAAGCTGAGGGAGGATTCGTGGCAACCATTGCCGAAAAAGAAAAGCAGTATGACACGTCCAATGGGCAGCTCCAACGTGCCTCAACAAGTCTCGCCTGAACTACCAAGAACAATACGAAGGTACGCGCAGGGCACCAAATACGACCAGGATAGTTGCCCTTCGTGACAGGGGTTTGCCGCAAGGAACACGTCCTCTAGCTTCTGTAGCTTGTGAAGCGATTTTGGTCGATCCACCCGCCGCAATATTGGTGGGTCTCCACTTGTGATATGTAGTTCAAATTTTGGTGCGTGACCAAAATATTTGCCACTATTTTTTTTTTTCTATATCCTGCAGCTTCTCACATCCTGAACATGAAGCATCCAACCTTGCCGCCACTCACCCTGCAACTTCCTGAGCAGGGAGGAGGACATTATCAGGAACGAAGTGGGACGAGCGGATTCAGGCTCGGGGGTGGTAAAAAATTCAGGCACACGCCTGGATGACATAATCCGTGCCCGTGAGGAGGAATTTTTCCGTGAACTCAGTGCTGAGGAGTACACCGGCACTCACCCTTTGATGCATATGGTAGCCTCGCAGCAAAAACTTCGCAGCATTGGAGTGCCAGCTCATCAGGTGGACCCTCGGGCAGCGATAAAAAAGTCAAGAAGGGCAGCTAAGATGAGCCCCTATGAACGGCCACAGACCCTGGTTGCGTATACCGGGCGATCTGATGCTTCCGCTCTACAAACGAAGCCTGCACGCTTGCACACCACGAGTGGAAATGTATCGCTCGGGGACCCTCGAGCCGGCAGCAACAGCAGTAGCGGAGACAAGATCTCATCATCTGCAGCAAGGCATCGCGAATTTCTGGACAACACATTGAGCGCTGTTCACGAACAGCTAGAGTCAACCGCGCTTGCTGATATTAGTGGACAAGAAACACCTTGTGCCGCAGACGATGGACAGTGAAATAGTCTCGGGTGGAAGCATTAAGACGTTCTGCTGTAGAGTATAATTACGGTCATGCTTGTCTTGATGTACAATTTCGTCTCACACGTGGACTCTCCTGGAATGTCTTTTTGACGAACTTCCATGGCGTGTAAAAAAACACATGGTACGATCTAATCCATTATCATTGCCCGAGGTCACCCAAGTCCTGAAGCCCGTTTGGGGGTTGCAATTTCTGTTGCGACTGAAAGAAACAGCACTGAAGGAAGTTTGGGGAACTTTTCTTGGGAAGAGTTAATTTGTCAAGGAGGCCGTCCTCTTTGACATACAGTCGAGGAAGAGCACACACGTAAAATCAACCGTCCACTTTCTTTGTTTTTTGTCAACGACGAAAGCTAGAGCCCCGTGCTCGCCCAAGTACCAGCGTTTTTTGGATGTCTTGGGGAGGTTGGTGGCTAGGGCAGCAAGCAGAGTGAGGAAGAGTCATTCCGCCACATGGCCTACGAAATGATATCTTGGCAAAATCGATACCCCCCCACCCTGCTGCGGAGGTGCGTCCACGAAACTGCGGCAGCCAACTAAACAGAAGTCGATACAACTGTATGCTCAGCTTCAAGGCAATGCGACCCTCAGGTCACGCACGGCAGTAGTTCATCGTGCCAAGCGGACCTCGTCTGCCATCAACAATTCCTGGCGTCAATCATTCTCGAAAATTGTAGCATCCAATGTGGAGCTGATCCTACGCCGTGCTCCGTGCGTGGTTCTGTGAAGCATCTCCCAGACCGGATCATGACGCACAAGCAAGGTAATAGCAGCGGATTGCTCAATGCAAACAAATGCACCGTGCATTACACAAAAACAGGAGTGGCGTCGCTACGATACCTGGACCACATTGAAAGCATCCAATGCGAGTACCCGGGTACGGTTCAAAAAGTGGCTCGGAGCTACTTGTAGTAGCACGGAGTCATGCGCCCAAGCGGGGTTGTAGACCGATGCAGAATTCGAAAAAAACAAAAGGAATGATCCTCCAAGATCTTACTTCTCTGCGCCCCTCGGTCCGATGACTCCTAGGTTAGTAACCGACATCCCGGTGCCCTGGCCCGAAGAATTACGACGAGCGATAACCGTCACGCATCGACTTAAATTCCAAAGGACACGACGACCGGAGCATATGGTTGGCCACCATGACAGTCATAGTCGCGAAGTTGGACCCAATGTCTCTTTTTATGCCGTCGGAAGACTTCACACACAATCTTGGTGTGCATGTACATGGGCCCTTGATGGTCATGGAAAAGCTAACGTGTCTGAGGTACCCAAATCGAGTGCATGTGAAGACCAAGCAAAGGCCGTATCTTCGTAAATAACTACTCAACTGATCATCGTACGCACCCATTGTTGAGGTGCTGCAGTCACATGCTTCCTACACGAATATGAGACTCTGGCAAAACACGAAATTGTCGGGCACGACACTGAAGGTGAACTAACGAAGCTTCCTTGTTCGCCTTGCTTCCCGGAAATCTTCCACCACCCCCGTCCACCAGGCGCCATGTCCCATGAATTTAACTATTCGTTCTTCTTCGTTGACCGCTGTCAGGTGAACATCTGCGCAAGTACATAAGCGTTACGCATATCAGCAACAATACCATGTCGTGAGTTGACCATAAGACAGGTTCATCACTAACGCTCGTACGATTTCGGCCCCGCGACCCCGTTGGCGATCTCTACACCGTGTTCAGTAGGTCAACTTTACCTTTGTCTCATGAGTTGGACGCCGGGCGGGGAAGCTCATGCATCAAAGTTCAGTAGCAGGCGCAGGTGTCTACCGGGTTTAACCCAATGCAACGCCTGCAGCCTGCAATTCGTTGAGCAGAGAGCATCTTGGCCTTCGAGGCTTGGTAGGTTACAGCTTTAGTATTCTTTAGCGACTGGAAAGAACAGCCTACCATACACACCGCTCAGAAAGGGGCTGGGCGGGCAGCAAAGAAATTTCATCACAAACCAATCTCGAATCGTTTGTCGACTGGAAGCATTCACTCCTTCGCGTTTTGACACGCGCAGATATTCGGATCGTAACATGCAACGTGGGCAGAAATGGAAGACAAACCGATATTACATTATGCCGAACACCGAGTGTTTTCTTCACCTAGTCTGTTGACTGGTTGAGTCGCTCCCAGCCGATCAGGCCACTCAACAAGACAAACACATGTCTCAAACACGCCCGGAATACCGAGCACTCGAAGATCGGTACCCCCTTGAAGCCGGTATAGATCCATGTGGTGCAGTCTGTTGGGGAAAATGGGACGGCCAACGAAAAACACAGCCGAAAAACACAAGAGCGGCATCGTTGTATCACGACGCATACGCGAAGTGCCATCACCAGGAGCCACGGTTTATGGTGCTCTCAAGATGCGTGATCCAAGGCGTACCTTCTAGTCAGTACTGGGTGCAAAGTGTCATTCTAACGCTTGGTCTGGCGAGACCCAAGCAATGTCAATGCAAATGAATAGCACCTAGAATTTATCTAATGCATACCAAAAAATGTTGTTCAACCGTATACACAGGTACATATGCACATACAGGACACACCCACGTGTGTTGCAGACCGTCCGAGGCCTTCAACGTACATTCAACAACAACAAAAATTGACTGCATACTTACGTAGATCAAACCGCTGCTTCAGAGAGGATGGCCTCCTGTACGGTATGGGTACAATATTCCCACAAGACGGACTGCATGTAGCGCTGGACAACAATAGCGGGTCGTGTACGTAACCACAAATGATCTGTCTGTAATTCAAACACAGGCAAGCAGCGAACATGTCAAGTATGCACGCTAATTGCAGCGGCCTGCAAACCCTTGATAGGAAGCCAGCGAGCGATACTTACGTGAGATCTTCATCTGCAACCTCATAGGTGTTGTCCAAGAGGTACGACGGTGAAGTCACCGCTAGGCCAGGATCCCCGACTCTTGCTCGAACAAACCCCCTTGCGAAGCAGGTCTTGCCCGTTCCCAAGTCTCTGTACGCGGGACGCACGCGACCAAAAAGTGAATACAAATATAAAAAACGAACTTCTACATGTCATATAAGCTTCTACGAGACATCAACAGACACAAGAAGCAGGAATGCTGTGCACAGGCACGTGACCACGGGGGTGTTCCGCGGTAAAGATGATTTGTCTCTCCCGCGGCGAGGAAAAACCGTTTTTGGATAAATGTCTAAAACGACGTTTAAAAGCATAAAAAAAAGAGAAACAAAAAAAAATGTGATCGGATCGCCTTGATTGTTTTTTTTCACCGCGTTGCCGATTTCGGCGCCTCCATTTCTCCTCGGCAATCGATTCCGCTTGGCTGATTTAGAGGGGGTAGAGCCACTCAGAAAGTTGATCAGACAAAAACGACATGGGAAACGAGGATCCAAAATCCCAGCAATTTTGAAATTGCTCAGCTACTGTCAGCTTTCGAGCAGCTGAAAGTCCATTGCAAATCAAAACTGGGACATTCCAACAATATATTTGTGATCACCACCCAAAAATTACCCTTACTCGAAGTCAGGAGAGATTGAATCAACATGTAGAAAGTGTTGCGGGAGGGGGGATATTTCAGTGTAATTCCTAGTAATTCCAGGTTATCCCTGCTTTCGCGCATATATATCAGTGCGTAGCTGTATCACGGCCGCATCGATCCTGATCGAAATTCTGACGACGGATTCTTGATGTACAACACAACATTACCCTANGAAAGTCCATTGCAAATCAAAACTGGGACATTCCAACAATATATTTGTGATCACCACCCAAAAATTACCCTTACTCGAAGTCAGGAGAGATTGAATCAACATGTAGAAAGTGTTGCGGGAGGGGGGATATTTCAGTGTAATTCCTAGTAATTCCAGGTTATCCCTGCTTTCGCGCATATATATCAGTGCATAGCTGTATCACGGCTGCATCGATCCTGATCGACGTTCTGACGACGGATTCTTGATGTACAACACAACATTACCCTAGCCTGAAAATTTTATACGATTCGGAGGCATCTGCAACTTGCTCCGGGGGCCCGCAGACGCGATTTTCACCCAATTTTGGGTGCTAATTCATCAGTAAGTCATCACCACGACATCCAAATGGGAAAATAAGTATTTTTTCGTCATTCTCGTGACCTAACGGATGTTGGTACAAATTTTCAGAGGTTGGGAACCATTTCTTGCTGCTCATTGAAAAACTCGTGGAAGCTATTCGTCTTTACCGCGGAACACCCCCACGGTGTACCTTACCCCGACAAGAGAACCACGTCTCCACCACTGGCGTCCTCGCCGAAGAAAGCGCCTGTTTCTTCCATTTCTTCCGGTGATGCCACAGAAACCTCCAAAGTCGCTGTGCAAGCAACCCTCCCATCCACCTTCGGCATTGCTGCCACGCCACGATTGTGACCTCCTCGTCCATCTTGAATAGAGGCCATGCGCTTGTCCCGTTGGGCGGTAGTTTGAAACAAAGATATGTCTCCTCTCCTTAGACATGACGGAATCCCGAGTAGTCGACAATATCTAGCAGCCCATACGGCCGTGGTGTGAAACGCTGAGACTGGAGGCATTCGCATTGAGCAATGTACCACGAGGTTCAGGTATGCGGTGTAAGAGCGAAGGTTCATGGCGGAAGGGAGGGACGGTGGCGCCAGAGGCAGCAGCGAAAAATGCATACATTACATGACACTTGAGAACTTCATGCTGTCATCCTTGGCCAACAGAACAGCTTTGCAAACCGCGTTGCCCCCAATGCCTCGTCCAGCCCGCAGCACGCTCCCTCCACCCATCCGTCCTCGCCATCTTTTCTCTTTTCCCTGCTGGCAGGAAGGCACGCGTGAGAGTTGACCGCAGGACCAAACTTATCCTTACGCACTAGAACACCATGCCGCAGCATGAGTACATGGAAGCGCACAAGAAGCGCCATGGCGAGCGAATGGACCGAGCGGAGAAGAGGTGAGGGCGCTAACGCACGCTACAATATGCTGCTGAAACAGGTAAATCGTACCATACGTGTAGTATCGCATGCCTCTGTTGCTCATTGAGCCGCTGCGAGTGATACACTTACCATCGTTGTAGTGAAGGAACAGCCGCCGCCGAACACTCCACCCTACCATATAGAGAAAAGTTCGACTGTGGTTTACCTCGAACGGTCTGTTGTAGTTTTCTTCCTTTTACACCATGAGTCATCCTTATCAACCGCTGTGTACAAGCCGACCACACAGGTAAAAATACCTTAGGCATGAACCGCAGGAGGGGGTCCAACCCCCCCCTCCTATGTGACCCCGGTTGGGTCGTCTAGCTAGTAGAAGTGGAGGATAGGGGCCAGAGGGGTAGACGACAGAGTCCAATGATGGGAGAAAAACAAAAAACAATAAAAAACAGGTAGCAGAGCGTGAGATTCGCTGAGATGATGCCTAGAGACAGAGCATAATCTCGTTCCCGATGTCTTCTCACCACACCCCCATTCTCGATCACACAGACGAAAAAAGGATGCGAGGGAGGTGCATAAGCGATCAGAGTTTGCCCAGAAGGTCCACGGCATCCGCGCGAAGCTTTACCAGCGAAAGCGTTTCAAGGAGAAGGCGACGATGCGAAAAACGTAAGTGTCTCCGTCCACCATGGATGAGGTTGTCGAATTTGTCAGCTCTGGCTTTGTTCCTGGTGTAAGCATACATAACTCGATTGTGACGTCTGTATAGATGGATAGACCTCTCTGGAAGTACGCAATTTGTTGTGCACCGATACAATGTGTTGCGTGCCTACCTTCCTAGTGAACTCCGTGTATCTTGGAAATTCTTTCTGTACATCATGCCGACACCACCACCCGTGTGTAAAAGTAAACCGAGCTTCCACCTGATTTAATCGGGCGGGTGCGTCCATTCATGCTTAAGGCTTCGTCTGGTCTTACGCCCACACATGATGGGATGAGCAACACACGGGCCTTTACCTACCGTAAAAATACGGTTTCGTTTGCAACTGAACGGCATGGAGTTGACACCGAGGGATTCCTCCGGATTGTTCGGGCCTCTTGTTTTTTACGTTCCTCCCCTCTTACGTTCCTCCCCTCTTACGTTCCTCCCCTCAAGTCTCACATGCACGATGTATTCACGAACGAGCTCTACTCGTTACAGCGATTCGCCGTCATCGATCCCGACCTAACGGTCTGCAAGATTTCGAACGACATTGACCACGTGGGCGACCGGCCTCATTACGATAACGTATTCGAGAAACACCTTGTATTCAAGCACGATGCAACAGTTGTTAGTAGCTTGTGGGTGCGTCCGTTGCCCATGGTATCTACTGCTGTGTACAGGTAGCGGGGCCGGCAGTTGCACATCGGCTCCTTATATGTACATAAGTACAAGATTTGGTCATTTTTTTGCTTCGGCATTTCTTTCTCTCGCGGCAGTAACTTTTTTCGCGCTTTCTTCTAAGCGGCACGCCAGAGGCTCGTCGGCACACTAGCGCTCATGTACAGAGCTCGGCAAGCCTCCGTGGGACGAGTGGTTGACGGTCAAAGTCGCAAAAAATGGCTCTATACCCCGGGGACGCGTTCCGCGCAGACAAAAGCCTGGCGAACCAATTCTGAAACCCATCGAAAACGACGGAAAGGAAAATGGCCCGCACGCACGTTTCGAACAGGTTTCTCGCTACCAACGACAACTAGCCGGATAAAAACCTGATAGTATGCTCCACAATGAATCCCTACTCATGTTGCTTCTGCAAATCTGGCGCCATCACCTCGGTTTGTCGTGTTTCGGACTGAAAATCAGTTGGCCTGTTTGCAGCCTTCTGTATGTAGCGAGCAAAAATGAAAAATTACCTCTTGCGTGATATTCATCTCCATTATTCATCATTCGCTGATTCCACCTCGCTGTGACTCGTCGTGCCGTCGCACGCAGCAGGCCCAGCGAAACGCCGCTCGCTGATGTAGACAAGTCTGAGCGCATGCACCCACAGTGTTGGTCAGTTTGTGTTTATTCGTGGTGTTGCTTCGGATTGAAATAATGTTCTCATTTGAATCTGCCACAAAAAAAATCATTTTTATTAGTTTTATTTCTCCCTTGCAACTTGTTGTCCACTCGAAGTGGCTCCAATGTAGAATACATGCCGGCATGCAAGCGTTATGTATCTGCCGTCTGTCCATCCAACATAAGACATCCTGTTTCAGGCAATGCGCAGGTGGTCCTGCGTCGCCCGCGGGAGACTTGACACCCCCGCCCCGAAGGGCATCCGTTTGTCAAATTCACCATGACGAGTGAAACCGATGAAACCGGTCTGTTGACGCTCTTCGTTCGGTCATTCAGATCATCTTCTTGTTTACTGATTTCACCGCGAAGACTTGGTTCATCAACGCAACACCCTGTACGTGTTTGTGCGTTACTACGTTCCATGCTGGACCAGAATCGCAATGCACCAGGAACGCACGAACAAGCACGCCAACGATGACGCAGTACCAGACGGTGCCGTTCCTGCTTACTTGCTCGATCGCGAGGGTGTTAGTCGGGCCAAGGTTTTGAGCAATACGGTAAAGCAAAAGCGCAAGGAAAAAGCGGGCAAGTGGGACGTGCCAATACCCAAGGTATGTGGTCGGGGTCATGGTCGTTTTAGCACGTTGTGACTAGTTTCACGGCAGTGAAGCATTTGGAGACCCCCTTGAGTTTTTTCCGTTTACTGCACAGCAGCAGTCAGTGTCAAAGTGTCACTCTACGTCAGCGACAAACTTGCGTTTTTTCTCCTGTTCCAACCAACCCCAACGCAGTTACTGCTGTTCCGAACTCGATTAAAGCAAATCGCTGTTGTGGCTCACACGTGTTCGATCGGCTCCTTGCGCTCCATTTCAATTAGAACAGACTTTCTATTTTGCCATGCATTTTTCGTTTTACCCGTGTACAAACCTAGTCAAGGTATTCCTCGTGTAACTCGTTTTCCGTTCTTCTTGTGGCCACCTCATACCCAGGTAAAGCCAGTGGCCGACGATGAGATGTTCAAGGTTTTGCGAAGTGGAAAGCGCAAGAACAAGGCATGGAAACGCATGGTGACGAAGGTATGACGAATCTTCGTCCTTTGAACGGCATTTCCTCCTCATGGGCGGGGGTTTGTTAGACTTACTCTGGGTGAGATCCACTGAGTTTTCATCGGGTTTTGGTGATGAACTTGAGCGGAACCCCAGATACACGCCGCTCTCGGATCGATTATTGCGTTTGAAGTTGATAAGGCGGTTGCGAATGCGTTGGGATGGTGTGACGAAACCATAGTCCGTAGCCAGCGCACGGCTAATAGATGGAAAACTCAATTCTCAACGTAACACAAGCAAACACGGTCCACTGTTTGGTCGGTCGAAAAAGGTGTAGATGCATGTACATGTGTGTTTCATCATCCCGCTTGCTACGGTTGCTCCCAGAAAGGGCGTATCTCGTATCTATCTCAACTGAGGTCTCCGATCTGGTGCAACACAGAAAACTTCCTAGGCGGCGACGTCCTAGGCGGCGCGTGCATAGTCCCCTAGTTAGTGGCACAGGTTGTTCTTGTAGAAGGTAACATGAAACCCAACCGAGCACGGTTGGAGTCAACTCTCGGCACCCTCCGTTGTACGCGGTAAGAGCGTGTTGCTATTTTCTACGGTAACAATGTGTGCGTGTGTATGCGCGTGTGTTTGCACCGGAATTCCGTGTCGCAGGTCACTTTCGTCGGCGAGGGCTTCACACGGAAAGCACCCAAGTACGAACGGTTTATCCGACCAACAGGTCTCCGATTTAAGAAGGCCCACGTAACACACCCCGAGCTGAAGGCAACCTTTCACCTCGACATCCTTGGGGTTAAAAAGAACCCGAGCTCGCCTCTCTACACTCAGGTATGACATAAAACGTGACCGCTTGCGGGAATTCACCGCGCCGTACATATCTGATACATGAGTCTATCGTGGAGAACAGGACAGCATTGGAGTTGGCAGTGATGGGTTGTAGTCCGAGTTGCGGCACATCACCAATACATGCCTCTGCCAAGTGCACAGGAGCTAAGGACACTTTGGCTGTCAAGTATTCTGTTCAGTCGATTTCCGAAGTTAATCGCTGAGACTGATCCCCGAAGAACTGTCGTGCAGGGTTCTAGGCCGGATCTGGAAACGGGCACACTGACTCCATTGTAGCGTCTTGGAGACCATACCCTCGAACTGAAGTCTTTCCTCGACTGAAAAATCTCGCTGGTTTTTCTAACACCATTACATTTGATTTTGGTTCTCTTTTGGACAGCTTGGAGTCATGACCAAGGGCACCGTCATCGAGGTCAACGTGAGCGACCTTGGCCTGGTGACCCAAAGCGGCAAGGTCGTCTGGGGAAAGTACGCGCAAGTCACGAATTCACCGGAGCTGGATGGGTGCATCAATGCCGTGCTGCTTGTGTAGAGCTATGTTTTGCTTCTTTTGTTTTTAGTTTGAACTAGCGGCAAGGCCGTCTGGGGAAAGTACGCGCAAGTCACGAATTCACCGGAGCTGGATGGGTGCATCAATGCCGTGCTGCTTGTGTAGAGCTATGTTTTGCTTCTTTTGTTTTTAGTTTGAACTAGCGGCAAGGCCGTCTGGGGAAAGTACGCGCAAGTCACGAATTCACCGGAGCTGGATGGGTGCATCAATGCCGTGCTGCTTGTGTAGAGCTATGTTTTGCTTCTTTTGTTTTTAGTTTGAACTAGCGGCAAGGTCGTCTGGGGAAAGTACGCGCAATACTTACCGGAGCTGGATGGGTGCATCAGTGCCGTGCTGCTTGTGTAGAGCTATATTTTGCTTCTTTTTTTTTTAGTGTGAGCTAGCCCACTTCACCTCACCTTTTGGATTCGTCCCCTGCAAAACATCAAAGTCGTGCTAGCGCTGGTGGAATTTGACTGAAGAGTAGGGTTGTTTCCTGTAATCATGCCGTTGCTTTCGTGGGGAAACGCTCACATCCTTTGCGTTTCCACGCGATACAGCAGGAGACATTGCATGTACTCCCCCATTTTATTGTGTACTGTCGAGAAGCCTATCGTAGAGCGAATGCCGTGCAGAGAGGCAATCTTGCCACCTCGGTAGCACCGCTTGTTTGTTTCGAGTCTCTCAGCTTATTTCCTTGGCACGGCAAACACAAGTTGGTTTACACATCGGATGGGATGGTTGACCGGAATGAATATGTGCTCGAATGCGGCGAAGCTTGTAAGTCAATACTTCGGCTCTTGATCGAATTTCGGTCGTTGGTAGGGCTTGTTCGCGGCGTTCTATGCGGAGAAAGCACATTTGTGTTGCAGCCGCATGGGTGAGTTGCACATGATCATTGTTGTTGTTTTTCTTCACATTAAACTCGTGTCAGTTGCTAATCCCAAAATCGAGCGAAGACTCGGTCCGTGGTCACAAAAATGCTAGAGCCATCAGAAGATCTAAAGAACACTAATAGCAAGAACAGGGTACGCAAGGCCGAGGAGGTACACCTGCAATCCCTGCAGCACGTTTGCTTGCTCACAACTGAAGTACACGCCCACAAACTACAAATCGACTACAGCAGCAGCATCACCCCCCTTGTCCCGCATTTAACCAAAATGAATGTCGAGTACAGCGTACTGCTGTTTGAAGTGCTGTCAGAATGAGTCCGTGGACATACAATGAAGAACACCCAACCGAAGCCATCATTGCAATTGACAAATCACCCGAATCTACTGTGTACTTCTCCCTTCTTCCCCTCGCTCCTCGACAAGCTTTTGCTTAGACATGGGTTGTAGTGAAGGGGGGGGTCTTTCTGGCGAGCAGGGCTAGACTCACCCTCAAGGGATGACCGAAACCTTCTTGCTGCTGCGCATATCCGCCGCGAGGCATGCGCGTGGTGGTGTAGTTGGGTCGGC